AGTGAACACCACACAGTTGTGAAGCCGTGCAGTGGGGATGCCCCACACCCTGCAGAGGCATCGACCCCTGTGTATAAGGAAAGACATTTTCCTTTGCTGTACTTGCTTGAGCAGTTTTATTGTCTGTACATGTGAGCTGTGTGAGATAGATGTGAAAAGTTCAAATGAATGCATTTTCCTGCCCCATGTATACAGATTGTCATCTGTACAATGAACTGTATGTATGAAAGCAAATGTACTTATTTATAAATGGCTAACACTTGGAAAACCACGGTGTTGTGATGCTTTTCTCCTTCCGTTACAGCCTCTTCAGGGAGCTGGCTTTGAAGCTTACCCTCCTGAGGATGCAGTGATGGGGGCGCCCTCCCCCAGGAGGCACTGGGCAGGTTAGGGCTAAGGCCAAATTCCCGATGATTTGCTTGGTCTCTTGTGGGACATTCAGAGCCACCCCTTTGTGCATTTATTCGCTTGGTCACGTTATTGAGCACCTCCTGTCCTCAGAGTTGGACACTGTGATAGGCCCTGGAGAGAGCTGTGGATAACAAGAGACGCCATTCTAAGGAGCTGTCAGCTTGTGACATTTGTCAAGAAAGGGAAGCTTTTTCTTCATTGGAAGAGGTTTTTCTCCAGCTATACCAAGGGAGCACTGAGCTCTCATTTCATTTTGTAGCTGAAGCTGCACCCAACCCAGCCACCCTACCAAAGCCAAGGCTGAGGTGGGCTGCCAGCTTGAGTGGCTGCATTTAGAGGCTGCATGCTGAGAGGGTAGCAAGCGGAGGGCACAGTTCCCACTGAAGACCCAAGGGCTTCGTCACAACTGGAGGCCCACTGCTTCCAGGGGCTTTGTCTTTTCATCAGAAATCTGGTCAAACTCCAGTCCTCACCATAGAGAGCTAGGCAGCTGCATTGTGAATGGAAAAGTAGCAGGTTTCCTGCAACTGGCTGGAGACTCAATACTTTCTAAAAGGGAGCGGGGGTCACGGGGAGCAGCACTGAGCCTGCAGCCTTTCCTGTTTAACTGCGACCTCTGTGTTTACTTCAGGGACAAGCGAGGAGGGAGACCACTTCCTCTAGACATCAGATTTGTGCTAAACAAACATTCCTGCTGTGCGTACCTGCATTTCCCAAAGCCTGGGGAAGCAGACAAACTCCAGGCCACACACAGCCCAGCCTGGACGCCACAATGGCCTTCAAAGAGAAGAGGGGACTCTGGCAGCAACCACTTGCTCAATCTCAAAACCATTCCTGGGCTGCTCCCGTTATTTCATTAAAAAATGGATAAATCAGGGCCAAGCACGGTGGCTCACACCGGTAATCCTAGCACTTCGGGAGGCCGAGGCAAGCGGATCACCAGGTCAGGAGATCGAGACCATCCTGGCTAACACAGTGAAATCCCGTCTCTACTAAACAAAATACAAAAAATTAGCCGGGCATGGTGGCGGGCGCCTGTAGTCCCAGCTACTCGGGAGGCTGAGGCGGGAGAATGGCGTGAACCAGGGAGGCGGAGCTTGCAGTGAGCCGAGATCGCGCCACTGCACTCCAGCCTGGGTGACAGAGCAAGACTCCATCTCAGAAGAGAAAAATAAAAATAAATAAAAGATAAGTCATTGGCAAAACCCCAGCTTTTTAATTTATATTTTATTTTTTTTATTTTATTTTATTTTTTTTTTTTTTTTGAGACGGAGTCTCGCTCTGTCGCCCGGGCTGGAGTGCAGTGGCGCGATCTCAGCTCACTGCAAGCTCCACCTCCCGGGTTCACACCATTCTCCTGCCTCAGCCTCCTGAGTAGCTGGGACTACAGGCGCCCGCCACCTCTCCCGGCTAGTTTTTTTGTATTTTTAGTAGAGACGGGGTTTCACCATGTTAGCCAGGATGGTCTCAATCTCCTGACCTCATGATCTGCCCGCCTCGGCCTCCCAAAGTGCAGGGATTACAGGCGTGAGCCACCGCGCCCGGCCTAATTTTTGTATTTTTAGTAGAGATGGGGTTTCGCCATGTTGCCAAGGCTGGTCTCAAACTCCTGATCTCAAGTGATCCACCCACCTCAGCCTCCCAAAGTGCTGGGATTACAGGCATAAGCCACTGCGCCCAACCTAGATGTTTTGTTTTGTTTTGTTTTGCTTTTAGATGGAGTCTCACTCTGTCACACAGGCTGGAGTGCAGTGGTGTGATCATAGCTCACTGCAGCCTCGATCTCCTGAGCTCAAGTGATCCTCCCACCGCAGCCTCCCAAGTACCTGGGACCACAGTGCGTGCCACCACGCCCTGCTAACTTTTGTTTTGTTTTGCAGAGATGGAGTCTTGCTATGTTGCCCAGGCTGGTCTTGAACTCCTGGCCTCAAGCTGCCCTCCCGCCTTGGCCTCCCAAAGTGCTGGGATTACAGGCATGAGCCACCACACCTGGCCAAACCCCCAGCTTTTTAAAGAAGTCCTGGGACATTGGAGGAAAGGTAAAAGGGAATGATTCATTTTTAAAAACTGTTAATACTTCTTAAAAAGAATTTACCCTCAACCTTAATAAAAAGCTACTCAGAGTAGAAGCAAACAGCAAACTCAGCAGAAGTCTGTGTAGATCGCAGCACCAGGTCAGACTTTCTTCCCCCGGTCATCTGCTCGTGGGTTGACGTCATGACTGCAGGCAGACGCAGTACGCACATGCACGTGGTGCCCGAACTCCCCTGCGGTCGTCTGGGAACGGGTAGACAAACCAGCGGGAAATGGAGTCACCCTCTCTCAGCTTTAAAAACAAGCTGGAGGAGCTTGGAGTCTTGGCACCTGAGTTATTCCATTCTCAGGAATAAGACAGGGCATTGATAACGGGTATCATGTCTGGAAGGCCCTGCGATAAAGAGAGGGCCCGCTTAGAAGAGAAGGTGCTCAGAGTCCATTCTAACAGGCCATCCTCTTGGGAGGTCCATTGTGTCCCAGACACTGTGATAGGGACTTCACAATACGTTCCCTAATGTATTCCTCACACCTTGACAGACGACATTGCTGTCTCCAAAACAAATGCGGAAGCAGATCCTGCAAGTTGAAGTTGCTCAGGGTCACAGAGGCAAAGGTAGGCGTCTGAATCAGAGCCGCACTGACAGTTCTTCCCTCCACCACGCCGCCTCCTCAGATGGGATGGTCTGAAAAGAGCAAGCAACCCGAATGACGCCCCACGGCGCGCAGGCGCTGGGTCTGGGAGGATGGCTTGGGAAGTGCCGTGTGCTTGTTTGGAGAAATAACTCTATGCCAGTCAAGGAGTCGCTTTGGGACCTCTCAGGTTCCCAAACCCAGTAAGAAAGTGAGGTCCCTGCTGTTATCCAGCTGGAGATTCGTAGAGGAAGAGGTGAAGTGGCTCTCTGGAGAGGGAGGCATCATCCCCCAGTGCCTGGGATCACTTCAACATTCACAGAGATCCATAAGATTCAGAGGCTGATGCAAAAAAAAAAAAAAAAAAAAAAAGAAATGAGATGCTGACTGAGGAACCAGCTTGTGACACGTATCAAGCCATGTGCTTTGAATGCTTTTCAGTAAATAAAGGTCCACACTCAGCTGGGCATGGTGGCTCACACCCATAATCCCAGCACTTTGGGAGGCCGAGGCAGGTGGATCACCTGAGGTTGGGAGTTCGAGACCAGCCTGACCAACATGGAGAAACCCCGTCTCTACTAAAAATACAAAAATTAGCTGGGCATGGTGGCGCATGCCTGTAATCCCAGCTACTTGGGAGGCTGAGGCAGGAGGATCGCTTGAACCCGGGAGGCGGAGGTTGCGGTGAGCTGAGATCGTGCCATTACACTCCAGCCTGGGCAACAAGAGCGAAACTCCGTCTCAAAAAATAAGAATAAAAATAAAGGTCCACACGGAAGCCTTCATTCAGGAGGGACTCTACAGGTGCCCTAAGGAAAGACCTCTCCGCTCTAACTCCTACACATTAGAGACCAGCTACAATGCAGAAGACAAAGTTGAGACCAATGCGGGGAAGCAGGGACTCCCGTTACCTTATTAGAAGATTTGCTGTTGGCTCCCTTTAAATAGTGAGCTCTGGTGAGTTTTTAAATTGGTTTAAGTCAGGGGTCCCCAGCCCCAGGGCCACAGAGCGGTATGGGTCCATGGCCTGTTAGAACCTGGCTGCACAGCAGGAGGTGAGCAGCGGCGGGTAAGCATGACCACCTGAGCTCCACCTCCTGTCAAATCAGCTGCAGCATTAGATTCTCATAGGAGTGCAAACCCTATTGTGAACTGCGCATGCCAGGGATCCAGCTGCCTGCTCCTCAGGAGAATTGAATGCCTGATCTGTCGCTGTCTCCCATCACCCCCAGATGAGACTGTCTAGTTGCAGGAAAACAAGCTCAGGGCTCCCTATAATTATTTCATTATATATTACAATGTAATAACATAAAATGCACAATAAATGTAATGTGCTTGAATTATCCCAAAACTATCCCGTGCCCCCAGCCCTGGTCTGTGGAAAAATTGTCCTCCACAAAACCTGTTCCTGCTGCCAAAAAGGTTGGGACCACTGCTTTAAGTGGCAAGGCACAAAGCGCACAGTGCAGTCCCACCCAAATTTGCCAAAAACACACCTTCTGCCTGAGCCACGTACGTGGATGTAAAGTGGAATCTCAGCTTGTTCCAAAATCTTTGCTCCTCTTCTTAAGGATCAAAAAGACTGGTTTCAAAGGGAAAGGGGTCCATTAAACACTGGGAGATTCTCCTTGCCAAGGCTCTTACCAGGCTTTTGCAGCTCCGCCCTCCAGGCCACCCTCTCAGGCTGAGAGCAAGGGTTTAGCTAACGACATAGAAACACTGCCTCTGCTGGGTGGAGACTGCACAACCGCTGGGCCTTTTCAGACCCCAGGCCATGATCAATATCGCTAATCACTTTACCTTCTGTGCCCAGCCTGCGGATATTCAGTCTCTCTCAGGCCTAGAGCTAACGTCATGTTTCTGGCTGCTAAAAGCTCTGGCTCCTTTTATTACCACATTAAAGGAAAATAACAGGCGAGAGGTCTGCTGTAGACATTTATTGAATCATCTGTTGCACCAACAGCACATTGTATTTCACAGAAGATTGGCCACAGGCAAAATAAAATAACCCACCACAAATCTGCTTCTGGGGGCCTTCTTCGGTTCCTTAGTCATCCAGTGTTCACTTTGGCAAACAGACCAGTTTACAGACTTTTGTTGCTAATCTGAGGTTCCATTTCTCTCTGTAGCATTCTGGCTAGGGAGAGACACGATTGTACTTTGGTAGTTTGTCTAAGGCGGAGTCTTCCCAAACGTAAACATTTCACTATACATGTGCGTGCCAGCTCATGAAAGAACTGACGGTGCCCCTGCCCCTGAAGAGTGTACAGTCTAAACAGGAGGCGAACACTGTCATCCAGGTAGGCTGAGAGGAGGTGGGGAAAGGGGCTGGAAGGAGCCTGGGCAGCCCCTGCTGGGGAGGGGCCTGGACTACAACCACCTGCTCTCAGAAATAACATTGCCTGAGGCAGGAGCCACAGCAAAAGCCAACTACGGGAAATGCGAGCATTAGAGAACACTGGCCCCTTTCTCTAAGGCCATCAGGTTTGGAAATTGTATTAAGTTCTTCACTGAAGTACACTGTGTCTGTCTCAAGCTAAGTCATGCTCCTCAAACCCCCAAAAACAAGGAAAACAGGGAGAGAACAGTCACCAAGTCACCAGATCCAAGAAGCACATGATCAATGTTCTTTTTTTTTTTTTTTTTTTTTTTTTTTGAGCCTGTCGCCCAGGCTGGAGTGCAATGGCATGATCTCGGCTCACTGCAAGTTCCACTTCCCGGGTTCACGCCCTTCTCCTGCCTCAGCCTCCCAAGTAGCTGGGACTACAGGCGCCCGTCACCATGCCCAACTAATTTTTTGCATTTTTAGTAGAGATGGGGTTTCACTGTGTTCGTCAGGATGGTCTTGATCAATGTTTTACTCACACTATTTCCGGGCCAAAGCCAAATGGTGGCTCAGCTAACATGACACTCTATACGGCTACAGTGATGTGCAGACGCCACAGGGGATGACCTGGTTCTGCCTCAGTCCTGACTTCCTGGAGAGACGGGCACCAGGGAAGGAGGAGAAGCCTCGTCCTCCAGAACAGAGGCAGCAGCTCCAGCAGCCCCAGGGGCCCCAGCCATAGCCAGAAGCAGCGGTTTTTCATTTAAAAAATTCTACGGTTTGTGCTCTCTGCCTCCCAGCCTGAGCAGAGCCTGGGTGAGCCTGGGAAAGGAAACCAGAGCTGAGCTGCAAGGGGGGTGCTGCAAGGAGGGAGCCCCAGCAGGAAGGGGCTGCAAGGTGCCCCCTATTCCCAACTCCCATGTCTGGAGCAGCCCGGGAGAAGGCCTGCCTCCATCTGGCAGGAGAAAGTCTGTCTGAAGTCATGGGCTTCTATCCCCTCTCCACCAAAGCCGTCCTAGGGCTAGAGGGTTAAAGAAGAGGAAGGTCAGGACTACAGCTGGGCCACAGCCTCACTCAGAGCTTCCCAGGGGCCAGTCCCTCCCCTCTCCTGGGGAACCTTGTTCTCACCACCAACATACTTTACACATCATATCACTTGCTCCTCTGCCAAAGGCTGGGCCCATTCGTGCCACGTGTTATTTGGGCTGGAGGGACTCTTTGTTTGAATTCAGCAGCCATCGTGGCCTTTCCAGGCCTGTCCCTGAGGCCCCCCCAGTTTCCCCTGGCCTTGCCCCAGGCATCTGCTGCCGGGAGGGTGGGTCCTCCTGTCTCGCTTCTTTAAAGACCTGTGTGCTCTGAGACCAGGACTGACCACCCGAAGTCCTACCCAAAGCCTTCTGCACTGAAGGGGGCAACAGAGACACGGGAGCTACACACAATGAACTGGTCTATAGCAGCAGAGAAAGGAGAAGCAGAGGAGGCAGAGACCTGACCCCAGAAAGCAGCACTCAAATAGACGCAGCTGCGCCCACCCACCCGCCTGCTGCCAGAGCCACTCTCCGGAACCTGCAATCCTGAAGATGCCTTAGCAGGAGCAGGCAAGAAGACACCCCGTGAACCCCCAGGGCCGGCCCAGTGCATCACTGGGAGCCGGGGCTGTCTCCCTCCGTCAGCGTCTTGAAGTCCATGGAGAGGGCCTGCTCTTCGGCCTGGGAAGGCCGCTTCCAGTCAGCCCGGGTCAAGATATAGAGCACCGCCCCACCGAAGCAGGCCAGCAGCAGGCCCAGCACATTGGCCAGGACGCCCTCGGGCTGAAACGCACTGTACTTGTCCCTGCAGGGGTGAGAGGAAGGGAGAAGCTGCCCAAGAGGTCACAGGCCAAATGCCCGTATCCTGGGCCTTAAAGATGTCATAGGGATTCCAGCACCAGCCCCTGCCTCCCTACCCTACCCAAAGAGAACGACCACCCCCCACCCCCAACCAGCAATCTCCAGCAATCTCTACTGTAAAACCAGCAATCTCTAATGTAAAAATCTGTATCAATACTCTAGTTCTAAGCAGTTCTCCTGCAGATCCTGCTACGTGATGGGAATAAATAGGGTGCCCATAGCCCAGAAGTTTCTTGGAAAGGATAAAATCAAGAAAGCTAACCAAAGCCAAGCCCCATGCACCCAATTCTTAGCAAGCATAACTACAGCCACCAGTTGTGAGGCCGCAAGAGACGGCTCAGGAAGCCACAGCTGGGGAAGCCGAGGGCAGGGTGAGGTCTGTGCAGGGGTGGCCCAGGCCTGCCCCCTCCCACCCAGGACACTCACCCGAGGTTGAACAGCAGTGCCTCCTTCAGGCCCAGCAGGGCGGTGCCCACGGAAAGCAGAAAGATGGTGGCACCAAAGAAGATGTGCTGTGGCCGGTAGCGGCTCCGCAGGGAGAACGGAGCTCCGGGGAACAGGAAGAAGCTGAAGCCCACCAGCCACTAGGAGGAAAGAAGGTGGCTCTGGGACAGGGCGGCCGGCAACCCCAGCAGCCGAGGTCAGCCCAGGCACACGCCCACGCGCCCACATGGCGACTGCGAGCCCCTCAGCCCTGCCTGGTTTCCTCCCTCCTCAGCACGTTGGTGGGAGGAGTACTAAGTGCTTAGGGACAAGGGACCCGTCCCCCAGCACTTGAGGCCTTGGCACACTCGCAGATTCAGAAAGCTGGGCTTGTGGCCAAACACGCTGAGTCAGCCATGGGGCGCCTGGGAGCTGGGCACCCTTGGCCGCCAATCCTAGCTTTGCACCCACACAGGCCTGGGAAGACAGCTCTCTCACCTGCACGCACCCCAGAAAACAGGCCCTTCCATGAGGCACGTTTCAGCCCAGCTCCCCTGCCCCTCCCACCTCCCTGGTAGGTGGCCACAGGCCCTGGGTGCTGGAAGGACTCACCTGCACAAAGTACAGGACAAAGACAAGGATCCCGCACCAGCTGTGCAGGCTGTACAGGTCAGCGTAGCCCTTCTTCCTGTGGTAGTCGAACACCGCGACCAAGCCTGGGCCAGAGATAGGTCATGTGAGGACAGGGTTGGACGTGGAAAAGGAAGGGATAAGACGACCCAAGGAACCAGCTAGCAGGGACTTCTGGGCTTTAGTACCAGTTCAATGGCTGCCAGCACCCAGTGGCCCTGCAGGGGATGTTTGGGATGGGGGCGGGCCCATCACGGCTCTGGGGAGGGAACAGAGCAGGTAAAGCGGCTGTTTGCCATACCTGAAGAGACAGGCAGGGGGCGGGGAAGGCTGCGCCCAGGAACTCACCAACCAGGGCGATGACGAGCGCAAAGATGTGCAGCAGCCCATGCAGGACCTTGGTGGTGCGTTTGGCTTCATTTCTGAAGACACGGTAAACCAGTAGGGCTGTGAGAGGTGAGAGAGGGAACGTGAGTGCATCCGCCTGCAGTGAGGCCTCCTGCCCCCGCAGCAAGGAGGCACCTTGGTGGCGAGGTGATGTGAGCTGACAGCTTGCAGCAGGAGCCTAGCTGCAGGAACCGGAGGAGAAAGCCAGGTTCCCTGGGGACCCTGGGCAGCTCCTGGCCTTCTCTGAGGGCACCTAAGGCTGTATGCACCTTAACACTCCTCCCCCACCCTCCAACCTCCCCCAACTGTGCACACTCAAAGAGGGCAGGGCGGGAGACTGTACCACAGTCCCCACCACCAGGAGAGGCAGTGAAGGCAGCGCCTCTGCCCTCGTCCCCACCTAAAGGAGCTGCCCGGCCCAGCAGACACCCCACCCCACCCATCTTCTTGTCAGGTGTCCTGCAAATTCCAGGCTGTGTTTGAGGTCCACTGTTGGTCACACTGAGGCAACAAGCAGCCTGAGTTGACCTGTTAGCCACGTGGCTCCTCACACAGGCCCCCACCTAAGCCTGGGCAGATCATCCCACTCTGGCTCCCAAGCAGAACCTTGTGATCCCAGCCTGATCTCCCACTTCCAGAAGAGGTGGGCAAGGCCAGGTCACGTGAGGAACGCCTCTTAGCTTTCTGCTGCTCAGGGGTGGCTGTCACCAGGACCACCTCTAGGAAGAGCCGGTCAACCAGATGCAGATTCGGCTTCCAGGATACCTGGCCTGGAGGCAGGTGGAGGCCAAGCACTGCCTTGCTCCTGCCCCAGGGGGAGGCCTCTAGCTCTGCCAAGTCCAAGACTAACAACACATAGGCGCATGCGCACACACGCATACAAACTCTCACATGTGCTTACTTTTTTTCCCTCAGTTCAAACCACCCCTGCAGCAGGGCCTGGTTCAGGGCCCCATTCCTTTCCCTCTGCAGCATGAAGCGCCTGCCTTGGACGCTGTGTGTGGAAACGAGGTGAAAATGCTGGGCCAGGCTGGAGAGGAGCTGCCACCCACCAACCTCAGAGCCTGGGTTTGGATTCCATCTCCCCAGGCTCTGAACCACCTTCTGTCTGTCTTTTCTAGAATCTTAGATTTGTCCAACCAGAAGAGACCGCAGGGGTGACAAGACCCCTGCAAACTGCCTCTCAGGGACCCCCACAAGCCCGGGCCGAGAGGAGCGGCCCACGGGACTCACCATCTCCCTGCAGGAAGACGAGGCCTATGACCATGCAGAGGGGGTGCGCGTTGAACTGCAGGTCGCTCTCCCAGGCAATGCCGCCTCGGTACAGCCCGAGCCAAGCGCCAGTCATGGCCACCAAGGTCAGGCCCAGCAGCTGGGAGAAGGCCACGTAGTAAGGCAGCGCTGCGGGGGTGGATGCCGCGGCCCCGCCCTCCATGCTGAGGCAAACGCTGCAAGAAAGAGCAAAGCTCAGAGGAGCAGCACACAGCACCACGAGATGTGCACAGAGCCCTTGAGATGCACACAGCCCCCGCAGATGTGCACAGCCCCCAAGATGCGCACAGGCCCCCCGAGATCTGCACACCCCCAAGATGCGCACAGCTCCCCCCCACGAGATGCGCACAGCCGCCCCCGGAGATGAGCACGGTCCCCCCAGATACCTACAGCCCCCCTGAAATGCACACAGCTCCCCCCGAAATGCACACAGCCACCCCAGCTAGCTGCGCGCAACACCCCCCCAGGTTGCGCACAGCCCCCTCCAAATGCGCACAGCCACCCCCGCTAGATGCGCACAGCCACCCCCGCTAGATGCGCACAGCACCCCGAGATGCGCAAGTCCCCCTAGATGCATGCAGCCCCCCCGAGATGCACATGGCACCCCGATGCGAGCAGCCCCCCTGAGATACACATGTCCCCCTGCAAGATGTGCACTACACCGCCCTGAGATGCGGCGCAGCTACCCCCATGGTGCCCCGCCACCCTCACCCCAGGCTCCTGCTGGAAGCAGCCCTCGCTCTCCCACCCCCAAGCTCCTTCCCACCCATCGTCCACGGGCAGAGGTCCCAAGTCTCAGGAGTGGCTGAGGGGGGGTCCAGCCTCCCCACAGGGATAGGCGTGACCTGGGACACGACACCAGGAGTTCCATATGCGGTGAAGGGGCAAGGAAAGACACCCCAAGTTCTGGTGAGCGCAAGGGCCCAGTGCCTGGCTTTCTTTTCTGTTTCATGAGGCCCTGGCCTCCCCTGGGTGGGCTTTACAGGTGAGTTACACAGGCGAGTGCGCTCCTTGAAGGGAAGGAAGGGACTGGTCACACCTTTTCTCCAGACCCATCATGAAATACATCTGGGGAGAAATGGGAAGTCTCCCTCCCCTAGCCCGGTTTTTAACTCCAAGCTGGCGATGAGGAGGCTTCCCCACCCCACACCCAGGAGAGCCAGCCCCG